AAAGACCAAAAACAAGATTATGGTAAGATATGGAGTTGATCGCGTGGCTCAGAAGGAACAGGACCATTAATGACCCCAGCTTGATGACCTATTTTCCTTGCATTGCGATATGAGAATTGGTCTTTGGTCATTATTATTATTATTATCATCATCATTGAAACTATTACACTTTTAATATAATCATTCATCTCTTATGTTCTCGAAATGAGTGTCTGACACAGTGCTCTTCTCATGATATCAAATATTCATTTACATGTATTTATTTATTTGACATATTTATACAAGATTTAAAAAAAAACAATCAAATCAGCAAAGCTGTTTTTCATCGATTTCCTGTTAACATGGTTAGAAATTTCCAATTCTAACCAATGGGATTCTTTTCATAACATCAATCAAAAAATAAATAAGGCTTTTATTGGAGAAAAAAATTAGGAAAAATTCGTTAGAAAGAAGTTAATGAATAACCAATCATATTCGTTGAGTGCAAAAAATATAGTAGCAACGATAAAAACGGTTAGGTATCCTCATGGTTAGAATTAGATACGAGTGCGAATACGAATAGGCCTATAATACATCCATATAAATATTATACATAAAAATCATCTACAATACAATATGCAATAAATAAAAATATATAAAAATATCACATAAAATGGTATCTACAAAAACAAAACAAAAATGCAATTTCATTCAACGATATCATGATTATTAGGTACGGTGGGCCAGAACATGTAAAACTGAATTTGTTATTTCAGAAAAATGTGCGTTTATAATTACTTTTGAACGAGGAAAGATCATATCAGCCCAAAGCAGAAATAATAAAAGCTGGCCTTTCATGATAATACTTTCCTGCGGGTGACCGGAAGGCTCACGGTACGAGTGGACGCCAAGGGTTGGACCCTGCGACGCCGCCCTTCCACCCATCGGATACAAACACCTAAGAATAGGCCCACAGCATGACATACAAACAATATTTCCTAAAATCCACAATAATGTTTATGAGATCGATGGAAGAATTTAAGTTAATTTAATTTGTTATCTCCCTTTTGACATCCTCTGTGAGTGGAAATCCATTTTTAGGAGTGGTATTACTATTAGTGATCAGTCTTTCTTTGACATGTTTGGAGTTGATTCTACATCTACTACTGTGGGATGCACTCCATCGTGGTTGGATTATTCTTTTAAGAGCGGATTCCATTATTTTTTTCTATTTTCATCTGTATCATATTATTTAGTTTATCTCTCTTTAGCTGAATATGAAGGAAATGTAATCTAAAGTATTAAATTGATGACAACACAAGGCATACTTTCTCAACCAAACTATTTAAAGAAAATGCAAATCAGATGACAAGACATGGCGAGAAAAAAACAGAACTCATTGTTATGAAACGTTATCTTCAATGCTTTCCATTGAGTAAGTAAAGACTGTTGACTTTTAATTAAAGTACAGTGTATATGCGCCTTTCTCATCGAAGAATAGGCAAACCGAAGTAATGCATCTGTCATTTTGGTTGAAAGATAATATAAATAAGAACAAACGTATATAGCCAGGTAAAGTATGCCAATATTCGTAAAAGAACATGCGAGCAAAACTGGGCCAATTTGAAATTGGTAGAGACCGGGCATCTTAATCTTAATTCTGGATAAATATAGGGATGATAGTTTATACATTATTGCAATTACGCTCATTGGTTTTTGTTTCCATAATAAAGGATAAAACATTTAGTAACCACCATGCTCAAGCGACTACTTAATCACAAAATGTATGTGGAGTGTTATCATTAATTAGAGTGTGACCTATACTGTATACTCGCATGTAGGGGAGAAAAGGAAATTTGTTTCTGAAATGGAAAAACACACACGCAATCTTTCGGAATAACGGAAATTGGATTGAGAAGAAGAAGAAAAAACACAGAGTAGGGTTCTAGGACACCTACTCCCTGGACATCCACCCCCAGGTAACCATCCCCAGTCAACTACCCCCTAGGATAACTACCCCGTAGGACAACTACCCCTAGGGCAACCACCCTCTAAGGCGACTACCCCCGGGACAACTACCCCCAGATAACTACCCTGGACGATTACCCCAGACAACTACCCCCTACGACAACCATCCTTGGGGAAGTTATCTCAGGGGTAGTTGTTCGAGGGGTAGTTGTCCTTGGGGGTATTGTCTGGGGTGAAGTTGTCCGGGGGTATAGTTGTCCTGAGGGTAGTCATCCTAGAGGGTGGTTGCCCTAGAGGGTTGTCCTAGGGGGTAGTTGTCTTAGGGGGTAGTTGACTGGGGTGGTTATCCGGGGTGAATGTCCAGGGGGTAGGTGTCCGGATACGCCCTCCCATAATTATATGGGAGCTCCATGACCTTTGATCGCGTCCGTGTGCGCATGTTGCAACTATCTCTCTCAATACGCTATGCTCTTATGTATCCGTCAAGCTGTGTGTAATGGTCTAAATATTCATTTGCAAGCCAGCGAGCTCAAAAATTAAGATTTTTTTGAGGTCGCGGCGCGAAAAAAATCCTCAAGTGTTGATGGGGTTCTAAGCACAATGTTATCATGAGAGAATAACTGTCCTTTGATATAATAATGATATCAATCATAAATAACAACGAGCGTAGACAGAAATAACCATCTGATATGGGTCATTTCTTTAATAAAACTGACATGTGAGCGTAGCTAACAAGCTTTTGGAGGAAATTAAAGAAAAAGTTGCTCTAATTAGTCGCTTAAAATTAGGGACACATGTTATGGAGAAAGGATAACAGACACGTGTCAAAATAAAAGGGCATTTATCACAGGTGAAAAGGAGCATTTATGTGAAAGTGAAAGAGCACTTATGAAAAGGGGAAAGGGGTACTTATGAGAAGGAAATGGGGGAACTTACGATATTTGACTAAGGATGTATAGGGGTATTTATCAGAGGTGATAAGAGGCACCTTTTGGAAAGAAAAAGGGGCAACATTAATAAAAGTGGCCCCGGGGAGCGCCATCTCTGCCGAGATCGATTGTTCTCGAGATTGGTCTAAAGAAGTGCGGTCTTGATCTTGTTCGTAAATTCGAACATTTTCGATCTCGTATGCCATGAATTTGAACCCAACACTGCCGTCCTAACGTACTCTGAATTAGAACGGTTACCCCAGAGGGAAAAAATGTCATTAGCTAACTAACCCCTTAGGACAATCTCAGCCCTACACTAGTGCCCCTTTTAGAAACGGTGCTCAAATCATTTTCTTTGTTAATACTAACAATCTCCTATATAATGAGGTAACTCTTCGAAAATCGAAAAAGTGATAGGCCAAAAATTTGCCGATAGGAAAGAAAATGGGCAATAACCCCAAAAATATATTATTGAAATAATGAGACTGATGATATGGCAACGACTGTCTTTTTTAATTTGCCGACAAGAAAAGAAGGAGAAGGGTCTTTAATTCCAAACAAAATATTGCCAGCTTCAAAAGAGAACAAAACATAATACCGACAACAATTATGATTTGCCGAAATAGTGGATTTGCCGGGGAAAATTCATCTTGATTCGGGAAGGGTTGGTTCCCGAAATTTTATTTTTATTTCATGTTATCCCCATGCGTTCTTACGTCTTTTTCCAACCCAATCAACTCCACTGCCAAATTCCATCGCGAGGAAAATGGCCGTGCTAGATGGCACGGCAACATGAGAAGGCCAAATTAGATCGGGCATATCTAATTCGGACAAAAATCAGCCCATTCAGGATTTCGATCAAATCTCTACAAGCTCAATTTAATCGTAATAACGATGAACCATTTGAATTGACATCCAAAGGTTTGTCTCGTATTGAGAAGATTTCTATGGAAATGATGGCAGTCATGATTGAACGAAGGCAGGACTAACGAAAAGTAATGCGCGCCAAAATACGAGCGACGATCGTCTGCAGAGAAAAATGCGTATCTATATTGATTGAACGTAAGAGGGTTGTGATTATCTTCCGTTTGGATAATAGCGATTTAATAGGAAAAAATGGCTCTATGATCTTCGTGCCAGCGCACAAGCGGACGGATGTCAAATTGGAACCACAAGCCCCCAGGGATCTTCTTTTCAGACTATTAAGAGTTCCAAAATTATTTTGGGCGGTTACCATTGTGAATGCTGCAAAGGGAATGTAGGTCTGATTGCCACGCGTCTTTCACAATAGAGGTCACCTCCGCAACAGAAAACGAAACGTGATCTTGAACATAACATCAATAATCTTGTCTTTACTGTGTAATTTGGTATCTTCAACATAAACATTTTATCTACTTTAGATTAGCATAATTCTAAGATTAGATTAACTCTTAAAAGTATCAGAAAAGAACCATTATTGGTATAGCCGTGTTCTTGTTAAGCTATTAGTAAAGAGGCACAACACAGCTTCTTTTGGGGCATGTTCAAAGTTCATTTTCTAAATCCTTTTCTCAAACATAGTGGGGGTAATGTCGTACATATCATCATTCTGGTAGTCATGGCAACTGCCTCACGTGAAGTAGATCCACTAATGGATACAGAATCATAATCAAACAGAGACGGATAAAGGTAAAACTTAAATGCTCTGTAAATGCTTGAATAAAGATGAAGTAAATGATAACATAACGACGATACAATTCTAATTTAGCAAAAAGCTCAACCGACGGAGGAATGAATATGAGGAGAATTTTTTCTGGGATAGGACTCCTCAATGTCTGGTTCCATCTATCCCACTTAAGGGTAAATTCGCTCCAATTGTGATGTATTAGGTATTATGAATGGAGTTCACAACGGGAAGACGAGGATTTGTTGTTCTTAGCTTTTGAAAATATGAATGCCTGGCAGACTATAAGAGTAAAACTAACAGCACGATACGGCCATGTATCGGGAGGGGATAACTTGTGTCTGAAAGAATTATAAAGCGGAGCGATTTTCCTTGTAGAAGGAGTGAACGTTTAACTCAGATCGTGATTAACTTGATTTTCAACAAATTAAACTCGTGAATTCTGCAGCGAATAAAAAATATAAGCCGAGGAGATACCAAGACATTCACGCGGTGACCAGCACGAATTAACGAGCATTACTTCCATCATAATTAGACATAATAGGCTGTATCCTAAAGGGACCCTGATGGACAATGCAATAATGATATCTGTGAAAGTGTGATAAAACTAAGATTCCCCGGAGAGGAACAATTAGTATTTTAAATCCAGTTCTGCTTTTTTCATGAAGAAATCAACACGAATTGGGATTTATCTTTTCAAGCGGTCTTGATCACCACAAACTTGCGATCGGTTTAATACCTTATTTCTATATCAAGGTGACAATATTCATTTCCTTTGTGGACTATCAATAAATGGATTGTTTTAATTATTTTGATTGAATTATCGACATGCACGGAGAACATCATATTATAGAAAGGGAGATCACTCGAAAACCAAGAAAGCACTGTTGGCGCTTCTCTCTTTGTATACACGAAAACATCTAATTATCTTTTGCTATATCAAAAAGGAAGAACAGGAGAGATTATTTTGCCAAACAAGCCAAATCCTTCCTGGTCTTTTCCCCTTCATCCTAAGTCGAATTTCCTGTGCGTTTAAAAAACGTACTCTCGTCCAATACCATGCAGGAAATGAGTGCGCTTATCTAAACGAATTTCTTTGGACAGAGAGAGTTCTTCCAAATTCCCAGGGAAGTCTTTGTTTTTCAAGACCACCACCAATCCTCGACCAGCTATAGCTAAGGACATCCTTATAGCCCATTGACCCGAGACCACATGTGATTGGATAGAACTCACTCAATGATCTCACGAATCCAGGGAGAGAAATATGATTATCATAAGTGAGCGTGCCTTCTTTTTAACTACGCCCAGATAAGTGACGTCACATCACATTTTTATCAGACATGATGAGATCCTACTGAGTTCATCAGTGGATGTTCATCGATGAGCGAGAGATGTTACCAGCTTAACTTCAGATCATCAACTCTTCATTTCTTGTCAGGAAAGGAAAACAAACGCTGTCATTTTACAACGTAAGAAATTTTGCAGGATATGGTGATATATTGTATTTGCTGATGTGCATCGGTGTTGTCATGCTCTGTTCGCAAACGATTTATAAACTATAGGATTCCAGCTCTGATGCTAGTTGTTGATATTTTCTAGCTTCGTACGCGTGAATCTTTGTAAAAGAAAGTTTGTCGGAAAACATTACAATTTTGTCATCGCATGAGATTAATAGAACGTATTGGCCATATCCTGGCAAGCTGTATTACCTAAATGATACGCATATGTTATAACGTCTAACCGGACAGTGACTAATTAAAAAGATGTTGTTATAGCTGGACATATGGCGGGAATTTTCTTGCAGAGGTGATATCGGTATCGAAATTGTGATAATCGTGCAATGTCGTCTTCAATATAACACTTCCTCTCCCCTGAACAGTTTGTGAGTTTAAAGTGATTTGAGACATATCACATACTTTCGTAGCGTGTGCGTGTCTAATTCTTCTTCACAATAATAAACCTTGGAGGGTTTTTCTCGAGGTGACACTTTATCGAGAGGTTTCTAGTATAGCAAGGAGTTGTTACATCCTTGGTCATAGCAACGCTTTTGATTCCGCGGCAACTATCGAGCGGCTTACTCGAAAATAAGCAAGATCTTGAAGAAACTCTCAAGGATACAATCATCATCATATTCACGGAGCGACTAACGAGAGTGATTCTGAAGTATCTGAACCTCGCTGTTTTGCTCACGAAGAAGCTATTATATCAAAATATCCATAGTTACTGCTGCTAAATAGATTTCTATTAATGACAGCGAGGAAAGAATTTATAGCAACGGTGATTTGAAATTTAATAAATTCCAAACCTGAGGTCATAAATCTACACGTTTATGGATATTTCACAACCATTAGTCAGATGTATATCATCAACCTTCGTATGCCAAAGAAAGTTTGTCTTATTTAGGAGTTCATCATAGATTGGACGAGTGATTAATGATCTTCGCGGTGGACTATTAGTATAATGAGGTGATACAACAAGCTTGAGCAAATTTTGTAATCTGCAAGCCAGTGCAAGGTATAAATACAAGCAAGCTATAGCCTTATCATCTCCTTGCGATTCGTCGGTGCTGATAAAGCGATTAAAACGTTAACATACCGGTTGGATATCTTCACTAATTGCTGTGTTTTGTCTCTACTGTGGAACTCTGGAGAAGGCAGTTTGAAATAAAAGAAACTATCATATCATGACATTCAAGAACGCATCAGGAACTAGCGAGATTATATTTCAATTTTTGTTTAAGTGTAAGTCGCTACGAAGACAGGGGGCCTGTCCTATTTTCTCTGTGGTGTTAATTAACCGTTAAAGTTACATTTCCTGGAAGGAGTACGACGAACCTAAGCGTATATTGATCTATTGATACACGAAATCTATATGTCGATCGAAGATCCCTTAGTTTTCAGAAAAGAGGGCCTTTCGCACACCGTTTTAACAATGTCTGACGGGGATATTTGTCCGCCGGGGGTGAGTTTCTTTGACGTTAGAAATCTTTCAAGCGAAGATGCAAGCACGTTTCTTTATCAGCCTGGTGAGACAGTCCTCATCACAATCGTCATGCCAATAATATGGGCCATCGGCGTCATCTCCAACAGCGCCTTCATTTTCGTCGTCGCCCGTATTCGTCGGATGCGTACCGTCACCAATTACTACCTCCTCAATCTTGCCGTCGCCGATATCATGTTTCTCTGTTTTGCAGTGGGAGATAAGGTCGGTCGTTATATCGCGTCCCCGGTTTACAACGACCAATACGGCTTGAAGACGGCTGGATGCGTACTTCTGAACTACTTTGTGCAGCTCTCTTACTATGGATCCATCTTCTTGGTGACGCTGGTAACCCTTGAGAAGTACTACGCAGTGTGTCGACCTGTTCAGCACCGGTTAATGAGCGGACGCAAACGAACAATCCGGACCGTAGCTGCGGCATGGTTGCTAGCTACTGCCTTCGCGGCAAGCCTTATCCCAGGATGGGCCAATTGGACCCCGTTTTGTTTCTTGTGGCCAGATTTTGAAAAGTTCGACTCCTTACCAAATCTGGTCGGCTACTGCCTTCCACACTCTGACGTTTTTCTGTCAATAGGCAACGGCCTCCAGACGATCCCGTTTTTTGTCGTCATGATTCTCAACTTCCTTATGTATGGGCTCATCATACGCGCTGTCAACACGCGCGTAGCGGTACGCGAAAATCAACTTGCGTCGTCCGCTGTGCGTAGTATCCAGATGCGTAACCAAGTGGTGCGCATGCTCATCATAAATGGTGTCATCTTCTTCATTTGTCTAGCTCCATACCAGTGCTCTTCGTTTGCCATGATGATCACGGCAGCCACTGAGAACTACCTTCTCTCCGGCGATCAGGTGGAAAAGGTCATGTGGACCGGTCGGATCCTCTCTTACATCAACTCGGCCATCAACCCATTCGTCTATACCTTCGTCAACCCCAGGTACCGACACGCGTTCTTCGAAGCATTCGCCCTCTGTCCGTCGATCAAACGACACCTGGTGAAGAAGGCAAAGATGGATGAGAATGGGACGAGTAATATCAGCATGGACCAGTCTGCAACCATGAAGCGATCAGAGACCCGCAAAGAGTCAACTGCGACAACCGATTCTCAGGTGTCCCAGATTTTCAGTGCATCGGTTGTGGCAAACGATGTTGCCATTTGAATAAAAGTATGTTGGAGACATCGAAGACTTTTGTAGAACTTAGTGAACATAACAAACTTTGATATGATATGTGTCCTTATGTAACATATTTAGAATAACATGAAAACGTATCTTTGTATAATACAAGAACATGTCAATCGTTGGGTTGAGCTGATGTGCCTCCTTCTGTTTTTAAACTAACTTGCAATTTGGCAAACTTGACAACTTACAATTAATTGACAATACGGTGGGCTGCCGCGAGACACATCTTTCCTATTCCATCCGCCGGACAATGAGTACTCCGCTCCCTGCATACTGATTTGTGGATAGGTATACACCATTGAGCATTTCGAAAAATCCCATTTTCAGCACAAAAACGATTTATTCCCTTTTTCTTGTTGCTTGTATGTATTGTTATGCGTTCTGTTTCGATATGATATGTCTAATTTACGTTTCATTCATTTATTTGTATATATTTTGATATCTCGGTATCATGTTGAATAATGTTGATAGAAATGAATGACATGGTGACAGGCAGACGTGATGAGTGGGGAGGGCCACTGACGAGAAGGGTCAAGTATAATGTGACATTGTCTACACCGGGGTCTGCACATAAAAAGAAACCAAAAGAAAATTGCAAATACTACTGCATTAAGTCGGTGAGAAAACATTTCTACTTTAATAGTGTTTAGTAAATCTCATATCTGCAAAAAATCTTTAGGTGATTTTGGAGAACAGAAAAAAGGGGAAAAGCCTCCCCACCAAGAAAACAATCATTTGTTCTTTGATTTTACTTTGAAGTTCTTAGATTTTTTAATTATATGGAGCAGTGCAATAACTGAGAACAAGAACATTTACTTTTGTTATGCTATGTGATCTTGGTTTGATTGCTTCGTATTAGATTTGGGGGTAGAGGAAGTACAATGTCATAATGCAAAAGGAAGTAAAGTACTTGAGCGATTGAAAACTGTTTGAGTTAATATACAGCACTTGTCGCGACAGATTGACGGTTGAGAAATTAATGTTAAAACAATTATTGAAGCGATATTTTTTATACATTTGTCACTGATTCTAGTTTAAAGCAAATGAAATTGCAATGATCATCAAATTTGAAGCTTAGACAAACTTGACAGTCTGTTTTGAGGTTTGAGATTGTTCAGTCGGTCAAAATAGATATGAAAATGGTTAAATTGAATATGTTTATCTGAACATAAAATGCAACTTTAAGTTTAAACCAAAAACATTTGATGTACGCAGTGTTTATGGGAATTTTGCGATACAAAATATAAACTAAACACACAAAAAAATTATGAGAGATATACAATTTACTTCGTTCCCCGTTTCCTTTTGCTGTAAAGAAGAGTTGGGGTGAACTCGTATTATAAATCAACAAAACATTAAATAGTACATTTAACATGATTATAATACAATTTTGCTTGCCAATGTAAACCTACTCACATTTCATATTGGATGGGCGATATCATGTCTCAAATTACTATGTTTAGCTTGAGGATACACACGTTTTTTTTTTTTTTACTTGATTCTTGGAATCGACTTAAATAACTCATATTACTTTTCTTTTCATTCATTTCTATTTTTAGGAATAGAAACAATTTGATATTCTTTATGCTTCTTTTGTCTCGGAGATTGTGTTTCTTCCTTATTCCAAGGCATATTTTAATTATAGCGAACAGCGAGCACTTGATGAGAATCACTTCCTTGTACTGGTTTTTTATTGATGTACTGAATTAAAATGGTATTTCTTTTCCACACGCCCTCTCGAGGGATGAATTAGTACATAGAATGGCGGGAATGACCTCATGATAAATAATTCACACACTCCAAAATAAATTGGGTTCAATTTTACCAAATATGTTGGATTATAATAAAATATGTATGTTTGTTGGTTAAAATTTAATGATATTGAATGAAATATACCCACGAAATAGGGTAAAACCGAACCAACATTGAGTTTAGTAAAGATTTGCCCAATAAGTTCCTTTTCTACTCAATATTAGGTAAATTTGAGAATTTGTTTACAGTGCAAGAAGTTTTATTCTAAATAATTAATTTCTTAGTATTCTTGGTTTGATTTTATCCGCAAAGAATAAATCCATTCAGACATGACATTTATAACAGAGAAAAGAAAGGATTGCTTACTTTTTTGTTTAAACATGTACCTCAATTCATGACAGTTGGCAATTAGCTTCTTTCCAAGGGGGTCTTAAATTGATACTCTTGCTTTGGTATTGTACGCCCACCCCCTCCCCCAATAAAAAAGTGTCGATACTTACACAGCTGCATAAGGAAATTGCGTGATAGCAATAAATGAGGATATCACCCCATTTCCACTATAGCTAAACACCCCAAAACATAGATGTATTAACTTGCAATGGGCGGTGCACAAAATTCAGTTTTCCGGTTTTTATTCGCAGAAAGAAAGAAATTGGCGGGCTGCGGAAAAAAGATAGGTGTTATTTCGAATGACCCCAGCGACTAAGGAAGTGGTAATGCCTTGAAATTCATTTAAGACGTGAAAGTACTATCTAACATCCGTTTCAGTCTATCTTTGTTTTATTTATATACATGATATTATGCCATTTTCTTAAGATTTTGATTACCGTCTAGTTGTAAAGTGCATCAATGATTTCTGTAAATATTTCTTTGAAGTATGTATATCAAAGTCGTTGTGTCTCGTTCATTTTGCCCGAGCTTACTATGCTTTAGTCAATAGGACTCTCGGTATTGCATAATTCCATGACTGTGTATAATACAATGTCATGCAGAGTTATTTGTATTATTTTAAAATGTAAAAGCACGTTTCAATAATAATCGTAGATGTCAGACACTCTTCGCTATATAATAGTGCTCTTTAGCTTCTTGGCTTTGATCATATTTAGAAGGATATCATAAAATGTTGGTTTCTAATGAATATCAAAATCATTACTTGACAAAGCCCTAAAGGCGAATATTTGAAGACAATTTCTTCGTGTACGGAGCTTCATTATTTTTTTTTTTTGTGTGTGTATTTTCTCGAACACCGAGCAGAAATCTCTCTCCCTCTCTCTCTCTTCCTCTCTATTCTTTTCTCTCTCGCACTCCTTTAATCTTTGTTTCGTCATCTTTTCTAGCCGAAATTAGACAGCCCACGGTTTTTTCATTAATTTGCTATCATTATACATTTAGTAGATGTTTGTGATGGTACTATGTTAATCGTGTAATTTACCCACTTAGACATTGAGAAAAATACATGTAAATCAGTTTTTAGATAATATGGCATATATATAATGATTAGACTGTGTTGCAATGCTGTATACCATACCATTTATGTGCATGGTCTTTTATTGTCTGCAAGTTACAATAAATACACTGGATTGGACTCAAATGAAAGCTGACTGAATAGATTGTGAATTTAAATGTTGCGAACGATTCGAAGAGCAAATTTAGATGTATAAATGTTCAATTTGTACAGCATATCATAATCACTCTAAAAGATTCGGGTGAAATGTTGCCATGTTGGGAAAAATAAAAACACGAACACGCATGGATGTTGGCTATAGGCTAAATACTGGCTAAAATATTTCCACTATTATGGTAAAATTCCCCCAATGTTGTGTAAACTTTTACCTAGCATGGCTACAATTTTACCCAACCTGTTTTTAGTGGCTACTCATGTATAAATGGTATTTTTTCAGGAAAGATATACAGCACAAACGGTTACATTTGAAAGAAATTATTATTAATTCTAGAAGTAATTTTGGGTTCTGGTATTGGATAAGCATGCTTGTAGAAATTAACCCCTACCTCAGTCACACCGTCAAAACGACTCCGTGCACACCAATCCCAAACTGATCGATTCTCAGCAATTCAAGGGGGGAGGGAGTAATGTAATTCCCTGAACGGTCTATTGTTTGTACGCTGTCGATCTCGCTGGTGTGACTGAGGTATCAGAGTTATTCAAGTCATGGTATATCATGCAATTTGGTTAAAGAAAAAAGGATAACATTCATAATAGAAAAAATCAGTTCAAAACACTTACACTGAAAAGAAGTTACATTGTCAACACAATCGCAAATACTAAATAAATTAACTTAACCACCAGACTACTGACTTATATTATATCACATGGGTTTATTTCGATTACATTAGTGAGTCCCTTACTACATTTCTTCTTTTTCTTCATTGCTATATCTGATATCTGACCACACTCTGTTTCTAATACCCGTTGCACACGAGGCGCCATTTTGAATAAAGTAATTATTTTGCGCTAATTGAGCCTGGCAGTGATCCGACATTTACTCCGGTAACAATATTGTCCCGGGCTTTAGGGTTAGGGTCGCAATTGGGTTTTAGGTTAGGTTCAGGGTTAGTGATATTGAAGTTAAATTCGGTTAGCTCAGCAAGAAATTACCGCGGAGTTATTGACGCAGGAGCTTGTCAGGCAAATTAATGACGCATCGTGGTCAATGGGCATTACAGTCTCAAAGTCTACAAACAAAGTTTGATTTGGGGCAACTAAATTGATGTAACGGACATATTCAAAACATCAAAATCAGAATGGTGCAACCAAATATTTTAGGCAATTTCGAACCCTGTATACATGCATTTTAAGTTGATGGTAAATCAAATTAGATTGATATAAACTGATACATGAACTACAGACGTACATGCGTACATGCATACATATTACATCATAGCAACTTACAATCACAAATGAATGTGTGACTTCGAATTGCAATATTTACTTTGTGATTAAAAAAAACAAATATTCACCTTGAAGATAGAATGAATAGCAGTACTCATTTTTATAGTAAGGGATAGAAACAATATTAAAACATGTTAACTTAAATCAAAGGCTGGTCCACAGACTTTTCAGCAATGTATTAACAAAAGAAAGATCATATTTTTCCATTCTACATTCTCATCATTGGCAATTCTACCTACAAAACACTCTTTTAAATCTCATTTTAAAAGGGGATTCTTTTAAAATAATCAATTTACTATCCAGTTAGTAATACATGCATGTGTGTATCTTGAAAGGAATGTATAGGCCTGATATCAGATCAAAGGTCAGTTTTTAATCGAAGTTATATACAACAATAAAAAGTATTGTTTCTCAGGATAAGTTCTTCTAGCATCATTATGTTATCATGATAAGTTAATATAACTTGTAAGAAAAGATGTAAATCGTTCAAATTAACCACACAGATATCATAGCATATACATAATATATATACAGAGAGAAATAATATAAGTAAAGAAAGAAATGACAAGGAGCGGGAGAGAGAGAGGGGGAGAAAGACATAGAGAGAGAGAGAGAGAGAGAGAAGGGTGAGGGAATGTGAGAGAGAGAGAGAGAGCGAGAGAGAGAGCGAGAGAGAGAGAGAGAGGGAGGGGGAGGAGTGACAAATTAAAAGTAGAGTCGTTTTATACCGGCTTGGGGGCAAAGGAATTGGCCCTCGTGGCGTTGGCATTACTTTAGTTCAATTTCAAAGACTAAAATACAACTAATGAAAGACCAACGCTTTGCCATTGATTTGAAAGGAAATTACAAGATTGAAGCAGTTTGGCCTATAAGACGGCAGAATAAGAGGATAAGTAAATATATTAGTCATTTCGTATGTACATTAATGAACATTCATTTCGTTTCAGTAGAAACGCGAAGCCACCGCGCAAGATACACAACAGAGCGACTATATCATGACGGACTGCTTTGACGCTATTTCGCAAAATGGCTCCAGGGGCGTCATTGGACTATTTTGAATGGAGAGACAGACAGACAGAGAGGGTGGGTGTCAGGTCATTATTTGCTGACAAGTTTGCTTAAGAATTTCCAATAAAAAAGGATCCCCATAAATTTTTGTTCAGTTCTGCTGCAAGAGATTTGTTCCCACTTTTTCTTCTTCTTTTTCTTCTTTTTTATTAACAAAAATGTCATTAATGAATCTGTGACGTTTGCCGAAAAATTACAAATGTGCCAATAGAAAATATAAGGAAGGACATTAGGGTTACATGTATACCCCATTCCTTCACCATTAGCGACGCCTCTAAAAATTATTGACTCCTTTAAGTTTCATCTCAATCACACTTCACGATGTGTATGAATTGAAAGCGCATCGACATAACATTACGCTGTCCATACGCATGCATAGAAAATTAGGATCTCACATTGCATGGACAGCGAAAAATAACTCGAATGAAGCATTAGATTGTAAAGGTCCGTATCGCGTTTTGACTTCAGAACAGAGGAAGTCTCCTTATTTTATTTTTCCGGGGAGGGGGGGGGGGGGCAAACTACAATGCACTGCATTTGTAAGTTACGTCCCCTATCTGGCTTCATAATGAGATGATCAAATCAAAGAGACAGGAAACTTTTGAGTAAACCCAGTCAAGTTGAGACGAAAGCAAAGTGTAACCACGCCACTTACGTTTGAAGCTGATCAACACTATGGCGTCAGATAACATTATAATTATAGATCATGCCTCCATTAAATCAATATCAGCTAAATTATTGAATCTAATTGTCCTAATCATGTATATTATGTGTAAATTATTATCATGTAAGAGCAGGTTGATGTAGCACTTAACTTTTGCTGACCACTAATCTCATAAAGTAATCACTCTTAAGAGTTATTAATGAACCCACCCTATAAATGCTGCATTATTTAAGGTTTTGATGCTATACAGCATGAGCTCACGAAGGACTTGTATACATATTTTGTCTATTGTTGAGTAATTATATGTTACAGAACAACGTGGGTGCTTAATTCCTATGTTATTTGTTTACATTTGGTAACAGTATTTCGTGTGAATTCGTACTGAGTAATGCCTCGCCCAATCTGACCGCTGATGTTTCAAATATAAATCGATTACTACTGCAATGGAACCTTTCTGATAATAATGATTATAACAATAATAATCATAATAATAATAATAACTATAATTATAATAAAATGCTTTATCTTCTTTTATTAATTTTGTATACATCTGCCGACCCATCCCCAAATTGTTATTAATATTGTTATAATTATTAATGTTTTAGGTGTGTCTCATGATCATTTGGCCAAAGTGCACACTAGATTGCTTTTATTGGACGTGTGCAAAGGAGCTGCGTGAATATCCCTAGCCGCACATCTGCGTGAACTTGCTATTGTCAAAAGGGTTGTCCACCACAAGCACAATAGGGATGTTGTTCCTATATTGCGGACGGACCGGTGTACCAAGAGCTAGCCTCTTTTGCGCTCGCGGTGTATCTTGCGCGGCATGCAACTCTGAATGTCCCTATTATAATAGGCAAGTTTTATGCACCATCGTTTAAAATGGACCTGAGTTTTCAGCTTCAGCCTCTTTGGATAATGTCACTTAGGGAGGCCATGTTCTTTGCGTCCATTTTTGAAAGATGATACGCCCTGGTTTGACGCAAACTCCGAAATCTGCAAGTTGGTTGATTATTGGGTAGATACGGACAGTGTCCAGGATACGTTCATCTTTCAAGAATGGATCCATGAACCTGGCCATTGAAATACCTTACCAAACCCGATAGTTAGACCAGGGAGTTGGGATTGCCCAACTCCCTGGTTAGATCATATCAATACTCGTCCTCCTGAGTGTCGCGTCTAAGTCCATCACTACGTCTCCCCTCGGCACGGCGAACCAACCCTTGACAGGTTCGCGCCCTCTCGCAAACCCGACCGTCGCATCGCCACTTTTGACGATCCCTCTTTTCATGAGAAAATGACACGTGACGTACGTTGTCACGAAGGACACCAAACAGCTGGCTGCTATGATGCCAATGACCATCAGGACTTCGTTCGCGGTCACTGAGCGCCGTTTCGATGTCGATGATGAGGGTTGACGAAGCCCGGTCGTAGCCCAAGGCATGGTTGATGTCGGCGCAGACGATGATATCACAGCCGAGCGGGAAATCGCTCCTGTCGTCTGCAGAACTGGTAGTGTTGACATGAGGAAGTTTTCCTTCCTCATGCTATCGACCCCCTCGGGTGAATGACGTTCTTCAGAATTCGATAAATCAGTCGCCATGCGATCCGTCGATAATTCGCCCGGCTTTGCCAAATTCGGTAGAAGTAATTCTAATAAATTGGAGCGATATAACAAATTAAAGATATTTCGATGATTTGAGATAAATATGTCATGATTCAAAAGAATAATAAATGTTAAAGGCAAAGTTAAAGGGTGTTTCCTATCACTTTAAATGAACCATTGTATCAATTTCTTAATGGGGGCGAAACGGACGTGCTGATAATTTCAACATAAATGATTAGCTCATATTTTCCAATACAACGCTGTAACAGCAGACTCTTAGGCCATTTTAAAAAGCAGACTCTGAATCATCTAAACACTACAGGATTGGGAGGGCACTGACCATTTTTAGTTACCCAGATTGAAAGACAGATATGTAAGAACGATGATTATTTAGAATGTGATATTTCATTATTTATCTCAAATGATTCATATGGAATTAGTCATCTTTAATACCTGTCATCTCATTTTCAGTGTGGTTGTTGTTTAGTAACGGGTTGGTATCGACCCTCCTGGCTCTCAAGACCGAGCCTTCTCGGCATTGGTATTTGCCGCTTCCCTCTTGCTGTGTACATTCATACACCCTGTCACCGTCCAGTTCGGGGCACAGGGAGCAGCGCCTGCATCGGTGCGATGCCGGGTCAAAGTAGTAGCCTAAATATGGGAAGCGACAAATAAAGGAATAAATTCATAAATTGAGATTAGTTCATATATTAGCATAAGACGCAGCCATTCAAAATGATTATTGAGTTATTTCTATGAAAGTTGATACATGCTCAGGCAACACTAAATCATCCGATGTCAAATTCCTATGCACTTTTAAACGAATTCCTTTTGCAACCCAGGACCGAACACGTTATTTGTTTTCTCTTTACCTCTTCAGAGGGACTTTATTATTCCATTTCAAAATACATATATATATTATTTACCGAACACGTTATACCTAACCTATAACCTGTTCAGTAAATTACAAAATATTACAAATAGAAATATCTTTGAATAATAACATAAACAGGGAAATAAACAAGAAATTAAACAAGGAAATGAAACGGATAGACTAAATAAAGTAGCTATATAAAAGGAATGAGAAATAGAGTAAGATGAATACATTTACGTAGAACATTATTGTACATGGATGAGGATTAACATTGGAACTACAGCCAGGTATTCAAATTCAAACATTAGTTTTTATAGATATATATTGAGATTTACTTATATATGAATTGAGATTTTATAATAGGTTAAAGGAAATCTCACCCTAAGAAATAACTTTAGTTATCCTGATAGATTTACAGTATTCTTGCCCATTAATCCACAAGATTCCCCACCAAAGTATATGAGAGACGTACAATGCATATAGATGGATGCTTCTAGTTCTATCGCAGGTGTTTGTGTGGTGATGAAGTATTTCATCCACCTGCAATAATCCTTTGTACTACAATTGCTAGAATGCAAATTGCGTAAAGAAGTTGGTGCTCTTCTGGGATGAAGGTTTTGCATAAATGGAATAGATTTGTCAAATGTATATTTTAGTATTTTTAAATGAATGAGTTATAAGTTTTCCCCTGTTAAATATTTTTCACCAGATATAATTGTTACCTTCTCAGCTATGACTTTCCCTCCTTGTAAAGGAAAGGTTTTGCTACTGAATTAAACGAAATCCCAACTAAAGTAAGTTGGAGCATGATGCATATACAGGTTCGCCTGGTATGTCACATTATCAAGAAAATGGCTGCCCCCATGTCCTGCTAAAAGGCATTATATCATGCCAAGAATCTATTATCTCGTGTACATCAAAAGGCAGGAATACATCTCATTTTCAGCATACCTACACTTATTCTTTGGGTGAAGTTTCTTGTAATATCAATAGTGATTTGAAAGTAAAATAACGTGAAATCTTGGATGCAAACATTATAATAACATTGCTTTTCAGTTTAAATAACAGTGTAAGGGTAAGAGAAGTGAAATGTCGTCGGCAGGAAGGGAATCTTCTTACCTGCAAGGCATTTGGTCCTACACAAAGTGTCTTTCTTGGAAGTACAAGCATTATGGAGCTGATATCTGTTACAGACTGTACAGGGCTTACAAGCCGAAAGTGTGGTCCATCTATCGGAATAGGTGTCTGCATAGTTAAAATGGAAAAAATGATGATGATAATAACAATAATAATGATGATAATAATACAAATTATAACCTCATTTTTAACACGACCCCAAAACAATATACGTAAATTGTTTTATCACCTATTTTCTGCATTCTCAATGATGCTCATTTGTGATGACCCCCCCCCCTTTTTTTTTCTTCTTGGGGGGGGGGGGGCATTACGATTAGGCGCATATAAGTTCTAAAAATCAACCTAAGGCACTTTCAAAAGCTTTGTTCCACCTCCTATAATACTGAAATGCAATATAATGATGCCTTTTGACGTAATCACAATACATTTTTTATGAGATATGCAATAGGGTATTTAAAATGCCAATGGATTGACTTTTAGAAAATCTTTGCGATCATGTTTTATTTTCATGGGGTATCAAAAGCAAATGCGTCTATCATAGGCCCACAATAAATCAAAATGTGAACAAAGATCCTTAAATTATCCATGAGGGTGGGGGAGGGGGGGGGGTCGTCGCATTGCCCATACTTCGGCTAATCATTGAATGAATGGGTGGGTGTGGGGGGGGGGGCAAGTTACGCCAAGCTGTATGCTTACTGGTAGGGCATGTAGCACACATTGCATCCTGGGTAGCATTGCAGCTCTTGACCTGGTAATGACCCGGTGGACATCTTGAGCAAGGCATGCAGGGATACACACTGTTTGTCATCAGTGCTTCGGCGTAGTATCCTGGGTCGCACATGGCTACATCCTAAAAATTATAATTACAATATAAAAAGGTTAATGATAGTAACAACAACAACAATAATAATATAACAAATAAGATAAGGATAATAATAATTATAATAATGATAATGATAATGATAATAACAATAACAATATTGATAAGAAGAAGAAGAAGAAGAATAACGAGAATAACAAGAAAAAGAAGAAGAAGAAGAAGAATAAGAAGAAGAAGAAGAAGAAGAAGGAAAAGGAGAAGTACAAGAAAAAGTACACGATGACTTTTTTACCCAGGGTATAGCCTCATCACTATTTCTACTGCTCTCCCTGAGGGCGCCCTGCAATCATATTACTTAGTGTCCCTTAATAGAATATAAAGGGACACTAATATTACTCAGTGCCTGATATTTCTCAGAGCCATCTATATATACACAGAGTTTGGGTCAACCCGGTTCGAGTTGGACACAATATGGCGACCACTACTTTGTTGGGCAAGCACAAAACAAAAGAAAATACGCCATGTTGTGACCCAGTGCAACCAAGTTGGCCAAATTCTGTATGAAGATGGCTCTGATATGAACCGAGCTACGATTATCAGGTGCTATAAAAGTATTCAATCAATATCTACCTACCGGGTATACTTAAACTGTGTGGAAATTGTAGGTTAATATCTTAAAGACTCGAACCGCAAAACGTATGATCCACCCTCCGGCGACTTATCCACTAGACCACGATACCCCCCCCCCCCCCACCTTTAAATTTCTAATATCGTCTGTATCGTCTACCAACAGATAATTAAGAGTGGCATTATTTTTGCTGGGCTCTAAACTGGCAATAATTATGATTAGTCAAAAGGAAACAAACACTGGGTGAAAATCGATCGTAGTGTTTTGTTTAGTATTTTAGCTGCAGTATTACTTTATGGTACAAACATGTTTATTATAGTCGGCTACGAGCACATTAGGACAGGCGCGGATCCAGGATTTCTTAGGGGGGGGGGCCCAAATTTGAAATTATGCGAGCCAAATATTGGTACGTAATGGTGACCAACAGTGACGTAATGCGGGGGGGGTCGGTGCAAGGAGGGGCGAGTTTCCCCCTCCCTCCTCCGCGAAACGCGGAAGCTTTGACGTTTCATACAATTATTAGAGAAAGAAGACGATTCGTTGCGCCGTTCCCGAAAATAATCCTCGTCTAAATTCAGTTTTTCCCCTCCCGCGCGAAGCGCGGAAGTTTTTGCAATTCATTAAATTATTAGAGAAAAAAGACGATTCGTTGTACAGTTCTCGACTCTTAATCCTCGTCTGAATTAAGGTTCCCCCCTCCTGCGCAAAGCGCGGAGGCTTTTTAGTTTCATTAAAATCATTAGAGAAAGAAGACGATTCGTTGTACCGTTCTCGAAAATAATCCTCTACTGAATTTAGTTTTCCCCCTACCTCCCGCGCAAAGCGCGGAAGCTTTTACGATTCATTTAATCATTTGAGAAAGAAGACGATTCGTTGTACCGTTCTCTACTCTTAATCCTCGTCTAAATTCAGTTCCCCACCCCTCCCGGAAGCTTTTACGTTTCATCAAATCATTTCCCCCCCCCCTTTTTAGTTTCATTTAAATCATTAGAGAAAGAAGACGATTCGTTGTACCGTTCTCGAAAATATTCCTCTACTGAATTTAGTTTCCCCCCCCCCACCTCCCGCGCGAAGCGCGGAAGCTTTTACGATTCATTAAATCATTTGAGATATAAGACGATTCGTTGTACAGTTCTCGACTCCTAATCCTCGTCTGAATTCAGTTCCCCACCCCCTCCCGGAAGCTTTTACGTTTCATCAAATCATTTCCCCCCCCCCCCCCCCCTCCCGCGCGAAGCGCGGAAGCTTTTTAGTTTCATTTAAATCATTAGAGAAAGAAGACGATTCGTTGTACCGTTCTCGAAAATATTCCTCGACTGAATTTAGTTTCCCCCCCCCACCTCCCGCGCGAAGCGCGGAAGCTTTTACGATTCATTAAATCATTTGAGATATAAGACGATTCGTTGTACAGTTCTCGACTCTTAATCCTCGTCTGAATTTAGGTTACCCCCTCCCGCGCAAAGCGCGGAAGCTTTTATGTTTCATAAGATTATGAGAGAAAGAAGACGATTCGTTGTACCGTTCTCGAAAATATTCCTCGACTGAATTTAGTTTCCCCCCCCCTCCCCCACTCCCGCGCGAAAGCTTTTTAGTTTCATTAAATGATTAGAGAAAGAAGACGATTCGTTGTACCGTTTTCGAAAATAATCCTCGTCTGGATTCAGTTTTTTCCCTCCCGCGCGAAGCACGGAAGTTTTTACAATTCATAAAATTATTAGAGAAAGAAGATGATTCGTTGTACCTCTTCGAAAATAAACCTCGTCTGAATTTAGTTTTCCCCCTCCAGCGCGAAGCGCGGAAGCTTTTACTGTTCATTAAATCATTAGAGAAACAAGACAATTCGTTGTACAGTTCTCGACTCTTAATCCTCGTCCGAATTCAGTTTTACCCCTCCCGCGCGAAGCGCGGAAGCTTTGACGTTTCATTAAATTATTAGAGAAAAAAGACGATGCGTTTTTACCGGACTCTTAATCCTTATCTGAATTTCAAAGATGTTCCTGTCTGCTCCTTTTTCTTCCTACGTCCTCTTCCTTTTCTCTCCTGTCTTTGTTTTTTTGTTTGTTTTTTTGGCCGGCAATTTTGGGGGACCGCCCCATCGCCCCTCCCCCCCCCCCCCCCCCTGGCTAGGCGCCTGCGGTCAGATAAACACATTTTGATACTTTTTCCGACCCCGGAAGCTCAGGGGTTTAAGGCAATAAATTACGGTCAGATAAGCATTCAGGGGCCCGCCTTAGGGCCCCTGGTGGGGTCGAGGCGGTGGAGCCCCCGGAAGCTTAGGGGTTTTAGGCGTTTAATTACAGTCAGATGAGCATTTTTTTGTTGATACCTTATTATTTTGTGACACTGGCAGGACACTATTTGGCGTGGGGTCCAGGGGTGGAGCCCCCTCAAATCAGGGGTTTTAGGCATTAAATTAGCGTCAGATGAGCACCTAAGGGCCCGCCTTAGGGCCTTAGGTGGAATCCAGGCGGCAGAGGGGGTTTTAGGCATTTAATCACGGTCAAATGAGCATATTTTGATGCCTCATTATGTTATGACACTGGCAGATAACTATTCTTTCTCTCTTGCTCTCTTTCTTTTTAATTTCTCTTTAATTTTATACTTTTCCAAAAAAGTGGGGGGGGGGGGGCTCGAGGCTCCCGATCCACTCCGTACCTCGGGCCCTGACATGTAGAAATCTCAAGAATCATATATTCTTGCCTGGCTGTAAATTTAGGCATTTGTCATTTTCCAACAAACACATTATGTCATTCCAGCATTATTTGTAATCCACCGTTATGGAATTAGAATGAAACCACGTTTGAGTTTGATTCTCCCCCCCCCCTATCAGTACGCCAGTATCTCCTCTTTTCCCTTTTTCTTTCCCTTTCCTTCCTTCTCTCTTATTTTTTTTTATTGGGGGGGGGGGGGGCAACAGCCTGGGAGGCAAGCAAGGCCCTTTCGGCCCCCCCCCGATCTCCTTATTCCCCCGTTTCTTTTCTTCTTCCTCTTCGTTCTTTCCCTTTCTCTCCTCTTTCCCTTCTTTTCCTTTTTTCTTTTTTTTCCTTTTTTTTGCGGGGGGGAGGGGGGGGGCCAAGGCACGCTCGGCCCCCCTGGATCCGCGCCTGCATTAGGAGTACACAAATGACCAGGGTCATTCACACAAATGTTAATGAGACCCCCCCCCCCCCCCCCCCCTCCCCAAATCTTCGGTTAAGGAGTACTCTTCGCGCGACGAAGTCCGGCCCGAGCATCGCAAAAAAAGGGGTGTATTTAGCTTTTTCCCCCCTCTTTTTTCTCTCTCTCTCTTTGCATGGAGTCCTGAGAAATTTAAAATGGGGGGGGGGGGGTACATTGAGCAGTAATCCGGATTTAGAGGGGGTCTCCAAGGCAGGAAAAGCCCGCGAAAAGCCCGCGAAAAGCCCTCGAAAGGGAGGGTCAGAAATATTGGCAGTCCTGAGATAGGGGTTGCTTTTAAAGGGAGGTGTTGGAGGGGGGAGTATCCAGAGAAGGAATAAAGAAGGTGAGAGAGAGCCGGTGTTACCCCCATCTTCGTATTAATCTACTCCACGCGGGTCTGCCCTTATGCAGGAGTCTCCCTGCTGTTTCTTGATACAATACTGCTACTGAAGTGAAGTATAAGTATGGAAAAGTAAAAATAAAACAATAACAACACGAAATAACAGAATTAGCATTGACATGAAAATATGCGCCGATAGTCTTACGACATGTTATCTTTGTCACGAGGTCGATAACAGCTTTGTTTGACAAATTGCCAAAAATCACATCATGCTGGAAAGACGGCTAATAAAAAATGGCAGAAAAGAAATACTAGTCAAAGACAAAAGGTGCACGAGGTCAAAACTTGAAAGGTATGTGAGACCAGGGATTTAAGCATGGACCTACTTAAGTGAAGAGCTAGCTATATGTAACCATTCGTAAATAGTCACTAGATAATAACATTCATCGTGTTGAACCCCGCATACCAGCAACGAATTATATCAACCTAAATATCATTGTAATTGACTTTTCCGCAGTCTTGTAACGACCGGTCACTTCCTTTTTAAAGCACAACTACAGATTCCACTGAAACTCCACATTAGAGCCTATAACTCCCTTATTCTTGTCAAAGATTACGTTTCGATGATTGATCAATGGAAAAGTTTCATTTCAATACGTATTTAGAGAATTATAGGTCTTCATCAATGATTTCGGACTGAAACAGAAACATACATTATGATTTTGGTTACATATTCCAAGAAATGAAGTTGCGGGGAAATGAGGGGAGAGGAAATTAGTCTTATTAATATGAAACTTTTTAAAGTAAAGATTTATCTGTAATTAATTACCTTCAATCAAATCATTTGATTCTTTGTTTCATTTCACAACAGTAGTAATCAGGCGCGGATCCAGGATTTCTTAG